AATCTTAATACATCCTTATTAAGTGATGGAGGCTCTCTACCCCCCCCCCCTGGTCCCACAGGTGACACAGGTAAGATCCCAAATGCTAACTCCAACAGTCTTCTTGAACATCTCACACACAAAAATCCACTCATCAGCATCCCAAACATGAGTGAAATATTTTAGATGAGTCAGGAGACATTCGGTTCAGTAATGAGTTGGGTGAGGCATGAATTACTTGGATGACTCACGTATAGATGAGTCAGGGAAGGGCTGGATGACTCATGGCGTGAGTGGATGAGTTAAGAATTACTTGGATGACTCACGGATAGATGAGTCAGGGAGGGGCTGGATGACTCATGGCGTGAGTGGATGAGTTAAGATGGATGATCATCGTCCCGGTGACTTCTCGAAGAAGATAAAATTCTTACGGTCGAACATCAAACGAAGGAAATCATAGATTAAAATCTTAATTCCTCACTCAAACGTTCAGACACAACGACCTCTGGGCCACGAGTGGTCGTCGCTCGCGCTAAATACTCGCTGTCAACACCTCTGGACCCACCGCGAGGAGTGGTCGTCGCTCGCGCTAAATGCTCGCTGTCAACACCTCTGGACCCACCGCGAGGAGTGGTCGTCGCTCGCGCTAAATGCTCGCTGTCAACACCTCTGGACCCACCGCAAGGAGTGGTCGTCGCTCGCGCTAAATGCTCGCTGTCAACACCTCTGGACCCACCGCGAGGAGTGGTCGTCGCTCGCGCTAAATACTCGCTGTCAACACCCCTGGACCCACCGCGAGGAGTGGTCGTCGCTCGCGCTAAATGCTCGCTGTCAACACCTCTGGACCCACCGCAAGGAGTGGTCGTCGCTCGCGCTAAATGCTCGCTGTCAACACCTCTGGACCCACCGCAAGGAGTGGTCGTCGCTCGCGCTAAATGCTCGCTGTCAACACCTCTGGACCCACCGCAAGGAGTGGTCGTCGCTCGCGCTAAATGCTCGCTGTCAACACCTCTGGACCCACCGCGAGGAGTGGTCGTCGCTCGCGCTAAATGCTCGGGGGGAAAGGAGCTTTGTAGGGAGGGGTGGAACAGATGGGATTGTTTACAGAGGGGGGTAGAGGGGGCAGGGTAGTTGGTGGGGGGTAGAAGGGATGGGGGGGCCTGATGTGAGGGGGGAGATGGGAAGGGGGAGTGGTCTCCCAGGCAGACACTCCTGCCCCTCCCCATCAACCCCAGACACCCCTACCCCTCCCCATCACCCCAGACACCCCTACCCCTCCCCATCACCCCCAGACACCCCTACCCCTCCCCATCACTCCATACACCCCTACCCCTCCCCATCACCCCAGACACACCTACCCCTCCCCATCAACCCATACACCCCTGCCCCTCCCCATCACCCCAGACACCCCTACCCCTCCCCATCACCCCATACACCCCTGCCCCTCCCCATCACCCCAGACACCCCTCCCCATCACCCCAGACACCCCTGCCCTCCCCATCACCCCAGACACCCCTACCCCTCCCCATCACCCCAGACACCCCTCCCCATCACCCCAGACACCCCTCCCCATCACCCCAGACACCCCTCCCCATCACCCCAGACACCCCTGCCCCTCCCCATCACCCCAGACACCCCTGCCCCTCCCCATCACCCCAGACACCCCTCCCCATCACCCCAGACACCCCTGCCCTCCCCATCACCCCAGACACCCCTACCCATCACCCCAGACACCCCTGCCCCTCCCCATCACCCCAGGCACCCCTGCCCTCCCCATCACCCCAGACACCCCTCCCCATCACCCCAGACACCCCTGCCCCTCCCCATCACCCCAGGCACCCCTGCCCTCCCCATCACACCCAGACACCCCTCCCCATCACCCCAGACACCCCTCCTCATCACCCCAGACACCCCTGCCCTCCCCATCACCCCAGACACCCCTCCCCATCACCCCAGACACCCCTCCCCATC